TCACCCTGGGATTCGCTATGCAAAATTGAAGAGGATAATGACTCATGCTTGAAAAGTCGGTGTGTGGTACATGGCAATAATGTCAGTTATTACATCTTCCTCTTTTAACAGAATAGCAGGGTTAAGTGTGGGAGGATTAGTCTGTGAATAGATGCTTGTCAACACATTCTCCTCCGGTTGTTAATGATAAAGGCAGCATGCGCAGATGAGAAGAGAAAACTTCAAGATGATAAAGCTATGCACAATGGTGTCTGTCTGCGTCAGGTGAAACCTCCCTCTATATTCATATGAAGTGAAGTTTTGAACGTTTTAAATGTTAAGAAGAATCTTTAGTGAGCTAATCAATACTACAAATGTCCTTTCCAAAGAAATGAAAGCTCCACAGGATTGACAAGATAACTAAAAATGGCAGGGCTAAGGGCACACTTAATTGCACTAAATAGGAAAGTTGAACGTTGATGCTATCAGAATATGTGAGACTGGTTTTGTGGTATTGGGTCACATGCCTCCACATGCCTACCTTTGTTGCTACTCATCAGGGTCACGTTTGATTGTCATCAACTACATTTTCTTGCATGCAGACATTTACCTCATGATCAGAAATGTAAGTGGTTATTAGGGACATCTTCTTTTTTGTTCCATGATGGAAGATGTTTTCGTGGCAGCTTTCGTTAGCTGAATCAAGGACAGAGGGCGTCACTGTTTGTGCAGATTGTAAAGCCCTATCACACAAATTGAGATGTTGATTTCAGGATATGAAATACATTTGGACTTGAAATGATATGAGCCTATTCCTGCTCTTGCTGTGGGCCATGTTTTTGTGTCCACTCAGTCCTCATCACTTTCCAGATTAGCCTTCCAGAGGGGGGGGGGGGGGGGGGGGGGCTACAACTGAATATGTCAGACAACCCCTCTTTCCCCTTCAACCACCACAAAAGAAACCTCTTGTTTTGTCACCTCTTTCAGTTTATCCCCCTCTCTTTAAAGGGGCACATGTTGAGATGGCGTACAGACTGGGCCATTCGTCCGAGGAGACAGAGAGGCGCCGGGGGAGAATAGAACGGATTCAGCCATGGTGGAAGACTAGACTTGGATCTGATTCCAAGAACACTTTGGCCAGCTTGCACTCTTCACAAGTAGCAAGTGGACAAACAAATGACAGACAGTAATGGTCTCTTAACTCTTATAGAAGCAAAGCGTTTCGAATCTGTGAGCCAATTATTCATGCCTTTCAATGTAGCTATCTCTCTTGAATGCTTCTTTTCTTTTCTCTTGTTCTTCCCACTCATCTTCTGGCAACTAGTTGTCTGTCTTGTATTGCACAAGGGACATTTTGCTGAATAGTCTGTATCAGTACGTCCTCATGTTACATCAGAGGTGTTCTTCCTTGAATGTTACAACCAATTATATCCTCATATATCAGGATTACAAGGGTCTAACTGCACAGCACTGTGTGTTTGTAGCATTCAACTTGAAACTTCACTTGTTCGGTAGAATTTATAGCCCCGTTTAGAAGTGATTCATGTTATTAACAAATGCGTGTCATGTTGTTTTTGCTGCATTTTCAGCGCATAAATAATAAGCACAACGCTGGCAAGGGATGTTGGCACTGCAGGAGAGGCAATGAAATAGAGGTTTTAGAAAAAGATGAAGGGAGAAGGAGGTAGAACAGACAGCCCAAAGGTAACCTGAAAGTTACCACAGAAGAGGAAATAGAGGAAATATGTTTTGGTTTGTAAAAACAACTCTTACTCTTTAAAGAAACCTTTTAAAGCATTAGTTCAGTCGATAACCATTAAGAAGACCTCTGCATGTAAAAAAAAAACCGAAGTGCTGTTAGGTCAACTCTACTTCTACTCCCTTCCTTTGTAGCTATGCTTCTTATCTGGACTAGGCTTAGCTGAAAGACATTTGCATAGCTACGTTTCTAAAATGGCTTCATCACTGTGATAACGCTGTCGACACATTGCAGTTTCTCAGGACTACATTTGAGAGCACAGCATTCTCACCTTTAGGCGGCTGTGAGGAACTGAAGTGCTCTGTAACTGTCGAGTTTATTCACAGCACTTCTCTGGGATGTTGCTCCCTTATGCAGGGACCAAGCAACAGCTTTTGATAAAGGCGCAATGTTGGTGTTATATTCTGAATGCAAATGATTTGGAAATAAAAGGGGTTGTGGGGGGGGGGGGGGGGGGGGGCAGAGGGGGGGACAGCAAACAAACTTTGAGTGTGAAGGCTGCAATCTGCATCTGTCCCTGATAACGCTGCAACACCTTTGCTGCATAATTCGAGCCTGTGAGGGTAGAGAGGGGAGCAGAGATGTGTCTGCTTCCATTTTCTATAAAGCTCTTTGGAAGCTATAACAAGAGCTCCTCTCACACGCTCTAAGAACATACACAGAAACACACAAACTATCCTGGTAGACTGGTGGAAAATCAGAGAGCAGAGGAAGTGGGTGATAGTCTGAAACACTTATAAACACCCTGATAGACACGAAAACCTCTGCAGCTAAATAATATTTCATATTACCATGTGATTCCTCAAATGCTATCTGAGTCATTATTTTGTCTGTATGTGTGTGTTTGTGCTTGTATGATTCACGTCTGATAACACGGTCACACTGCGGGGAATCACCCTGCCACATGGGGAAAGAACACTTGGTCACTACAACCTTAAGCTATAGACTTCTTGTTTTTGCTTGCATGTCGTGGCAAAGCAGGTCACAGTTAAAGGTTTTGCAACCCCCTTTTTGTTTGTTTGACAATCCGTCAATTGTGATTACACTGTTCACTGTGAACCCCGCGCATTACAGTGACTGCCCAAGTTTCCAGACCCAAATTCTCTATCGATTGTAAGAAGGGATAAATCAGGTTTAAATTGGTCCAAAACTCCGGTAATCTCAGACTGATATATGAAAGGCCCAACAGTGTTTAAATGTACATAGATACAGCTCTTCAATGAATCCCAAGTTTTTGTGCCCTTTGGCCTTCTTTACTTGCTGTACAAGGGCTCAAACACAGTTTCCCCTTAAGTACGAGATTACTAACATTTTCACTTATATTGCATATAAGTAATATATTGAAATATATGTTCAGGGGAATATGCTATATGTAGCATATTTTTTACTATACTGACATTCTGGAAAATCTATTGGTCTGAACAGTAATGTTTCTTGTACCCTAAAGCCAGGCAGGAGTGTCATACTGACCAACTCTACAAAACACTGAATGCAAATATTTCCATTTGCGCAAAATCTCAGCATGGACACCCGAAAGTGAATATTAGTGGTTGATTCGAAATAATTAGGGCTAAAGTCAGGAAACTGAGACAATTGTTTTATAGTTGAGAAATAACATGTAAATGATAGTTTACTGTAACCACTCACACACAGTACAGGACCTGCAGCATCTGCTTAAGAAAGAGAGAGAGGGGTTTTTTTTTTTTTTTGTCCAATGTCAGACTCGTCCCTTCCGTGATCCAGAAGGCTAAGCAGCAGGCGTCAAGGCTCCAGAGACAGAAGCTCACACACTGCCCCTCGTGGCCTTACAAGGACCTCTATATCGCATCCACTTAATTATTTCTCCCTCTGTCCATCCCTGCCTTTCTCTACAACACCTCCCCTCAAATTAATTACACCCCTGCAATAACTAACATCTCAACCTTGCACAAAACATGGTGACAGTAGCAGCTAGGATACAACCGTGAAATATCCTACTCCCTCAACCAATCAGTCCAGCTTCTTCCCTTCACTCTGTAGGGAGGTTCAGGACAATTCTTCATTGTTTTTTTTAATTAGTCTGATGGAAATAATTAACTATGGGCTAAATGGCTTTGAATGTCAGTCTCATTAGCATATTCAGAGATGGACCCGTCATTCAGGGGTCACGCTATGTGAACGTCACTCAGGATGAAAGAGAGTTTGCCGAAGGGATTATGGATGAAAAGAGTGTCCATTCTTCCTTCTAATCTGCTTAAGTTTGTTTGGATAACATTTTACAGTAAATACTTGATAAGCGTGTGTATAATGGGATGATTAAGCCAAATAAGAAGAAATAAGAATAATGAATTAACATTCCTGTTTTGGTTCTGACATTAGCTTTGAAATCAGCATTTGGTGAACTGACACTTAGTAATACTGGATGTAATGAAAAACATCAGACATGGTACTCTCTTTTCATTGTTTGAAATAAGGATACAAACTTTAGTAAATGCCTGAAGCTGCACTGACAGCCTGTGTGTATGAAGGAGGGTGAGAGAGAAAGAAAGAGGGGGGGGGAGAGAGAGAGAGAGAGGGAGAGGGGGAGTCTACCGCTGCCTGTCCAGAATATTATCGTCAGGTTTACCGGAAATGATTTTTCTTTCAAAGTAAAAGGCATGAAAGTGTACTGGTGTACTTTCAACCAACATAAAGGAGACTTTTCAAAAAGAGAAGTTTTCTTCTATTTTTTTCTAAAGCATCGATTAAAACTAGGAAAAGGTATAAGACCAGGACATTTAGCCTTTAGAAAACCGATTAATTAGTTAACTTCATTTTTTTTATTACACTACAAAGTTAAACATTCAAATGAAACTAATGAAAAAGTAATTCCATATTACTCCATATTACTTTTGCAAAAAAAAAAAAAAAAAAAAAAACCTTGAATAGGCTTTCCTGGAGACTAGCTATATTCGTATTTATGTCTATGGAGTCTTTATTAAAATAGAGACTTAACAAACCAAGAAAAGGATTAATAAGGTCTTAACAGCAGCAGACTGTATCATAGCACAGGTGGGTCCTATATTCATCTTTAATACGTTTTTTACATGTTTTTCTTTTTATGTTTGTGTTGCCATTAAGATCCCTTTTTGTCCAAAGGCTCCGAAGTTGATTAAGCTAGAGTCACTATCTCTCCCCCTCCGGCCAAATGCAAGCTGTTAGTCACTGAGTGCCTTATTTTGACAACCTAAAGCGGAAGTAGAATGAATTTACCTACTTGACTGGTGCGTGAGTAGTTCCCTCTCCTCTTCTCTGTCTAAGCACTTGCTCCGAGGTCGTGTGGATGTGCTGTACGGTCTTCTGTGAGTCTCCGTGGCGCAGGACTGGACGGTCGCCACGCCTTCAAAGACGCACTTTATCTCGGCTTCAGCTCTTCCTGCTGTGTCTGTTGCTCACCGGCATAAACCTCCACAGAGCCCGGACAAACAAACCACCTACTACTATCAACAATCATTCTCTCCACAGCCGTCACACTGAGCCTCAGGAGTCCGGCTCCACTTCTCCCACTGATGGTAGTTGAAGAGGCTGTGTTGTAAACGCTTATTGATTTGGGAATATCCGGAGCGGCAGCTTGATCGATTTTGACATCGGATAAAAAGCAAGAAATCAAAGATGGGGATCAAGGTGTAGTGCTGGTGAGTAGAGTACTAAAGCAAGGTGATCCCACTACTGCTGTATTTGCATATTGAGATTTCGCTCACGCTCACAGTCTGTGCGCGTGCCTATGGTTGACTGCGCGTGTGTGTGCGCGCGCGTGTGTGTGTGTGTGTGTGTGTGTGTGTGTGTGTGTGTGTTTGTAAACCCGAGAGGTTTGAGATGGCTTCGCGTAATGATCTATCACTTGCCAGCAGAACATTATGTCGTCACAGCGCGAACTTTACCAGCAACAGTGATGACATCACGATTCCTTATCGCCATAGAGATACTGGAGCGCCGCGTGCATCACTTTACTACAGTACGATAAAAAAGCAGCAGAGTCTGAGGCGTGAGTCAGCGGTGTCCGGGCTTTTTAAAGGGCGTGTGAGGGGATTCAGCTCATTTAGGGAGCTGGAGTCACTGCGTCTTTAGCCTCTGACACATTTTAGGGAGACAATACAAGACTCATGCAGGGGGATGTTGTTAAAGTCCTCATAGAGACAGCGCAGAATGAACAGGTGTAGCACTGATGCAATTGTATTTCTCATTGAAATGAAAAGTGCATCATCCACTAAAGCATCTAAGAGGTAGTAAGCAGCTTTTTTTTTTTCCCTCCGTGGGCGATGTAGAAGCTTGCACAGCTCACTCATACAAACCCAAAGGATTTCTTATCTGCCTCTTGCAGCTTATTGAAAGGTGCATGAAAGCAACACCGGCTCCATCAGAAACCAGGTTAGGTGGCGGAGAAATTCTTGCTGAGGTTGTTGTTATTACCAGTAAAGCTGTTTCTCCTCCTGATGCTCGCTCCCACGCCCTCAGCTCCGGTGTCCTCCACCCCTCAGTCAGCCACTACTGCACCTCCCCCCCCCCCCCCCAGGATTGAAGCACTGGAGGGGCATCACATTTTGTGACTCCGCTCTTTTGCCGTGGATCTGAATGAAGCATCAGAAGCAACTTCACCTGCCTATCTCTTAAACCAAGCGGTGGTATACTTCTTTGTTCTTATTTATTTACCCTCTCTGCCTGTTTAGGAATCCACCCTGGGAAATTCTATTTGCTTACTCTCACCTTGACGGGCAGTGTTTGCTTTTGCATGCCCAGAGTGGGGAAAAACAAACATTTGTTCCTTCCTTGTGCTTGCTGCTTGAGAGGTTCCTTTGTGAAAAGGACAAAATGCTAGAAATCAATTATTTGACTGTCTTTCACGAGATAAACTCTGAATTATTTCATCCCCGTTCCATCACCAGCACCCTTTGACTTTGTCCTCTTGGTGATCAGGACCTTTTTGTAGCGATTTGCTCCACCTCCTCTTCAAGCTCATCCGTGCTCGTCAAAGCTTTGCTGCCCTTGGCAAAAGAATATTTCTGTTTAGAAATGACAGCCTGCTTTAAACAGTACAGTATAGATAGGGGGTTGTACGGGCATGAGTCACAAGAGTTAGGGTCTGTCAAAAGTCTGCAGGTACAGACACACACTACAGCACATGTTCCCTCCAATCCAGGCCAAGTCTGGAGAGAATAACAGGTGTGCTGTTAATTAGGGCAGCGTTGGGTTTGACGTGAGACTAAGAGAGGCACATTCCCAGAGAGTTAGGCCGATCATTCAGAGGGGCTGTTTGAGGAGAGAGATAGAGAAAAGAGAGAGAGAGTGGGTGCAGGGTCTGTCAGGGGCGGGTCGACAGGGAGGTAAACACAGGAGCTGTTAGTCTGGTGGCAATGACAGCTTTATCACCACCACAAGGTTTACGACTGTGTGTCTGTAAGGGGGAAGGGGTTTGTGTATGGATGTGTGTGTGTGTGTGTGTGTGTGCGTGCTTGTGAGTTGTCATGCATCACACTATATTCTACTCTGCAGACATGACAGAATTCCACTACTGCTTTGTGACAGAGCGGTCAAAACAGGAATCTACTACATCAGCATGTGCACAGGGAAATCCAGTTCATTTGTTTTGTGACTGTAAAATGTACATGAATAAATCTTTGACAGATCAGTCAGTAGATAATTAAATTCTGCAGTTCTTCTTTTTTTTGTGCTGAAGCCTACACATTCTCATGATTAAAAAAAAAAAGGCTTTGCTCAGTAACATTTAAAAAAATGAACACAGTTATAAAAAGCTAATTAAGTGGCGCTGAATTAGCTTAGCGGTTATGCCGCACCCCATGTACAGAGGCTATAGTCCTCGTGGTTCAAATTTGACCTCGACCCTTTGCTGCATGTCACCCCCCGACTCTCTCCTCCCAACATTTCCTGTCTCTCTTCAGCTGTCCTATCAAATAAAGGAAAAAATGCCCCAAAAAACATTTAAAAGAAAAAAAAAGAAAAAAAAGAAGCAAATTGAGACAATTGTAGAAAGGATAACTCTTCCTTTTGCACACTTTCTTTTTTGTGAATCACCTCAGTGCTGTTTATCAATTGGGAAATTTGCAAAGGTACCTCTCTTCAAACTCTTCAGAAAATGTTCCCCCATTCCACTAGACTGTCAAGTATCAACCTCAGCCGTGGCAGGAGATCGATTGAAAATAGGGACAGGATATGGTGATGGCCTGTGTACCTGCCTGACAGGCCTTCGGATGTCCTTTGGCTACTCTGCAGCTTTGCCACTGACACCAGGATGATGAGAGTGATCTGACTGACGGGCCGAGGCAGACAGAGTTCAAATGTGGAATCATTTCGTCTGACAGCAGAGAGAGAGTAAGGGGGGGGGGGGGTGCAAGGGACTTTGATGGAATAAAATAGAGAAGAGGGGGTGTTATCTAATTACCTCCCAATAGGAGCCTTGACTCCATGGTCTGAGCTTCCTCCACATGGCATGCTGTCATTCAACCAGTTATTGACAGCCTGTATTTATGGATCAGCCAGGGTCGAAAAACTAATGTTATATGATTAGATCCCTGGTGTTTCCAATAAACCACCGGAGAAAACACACAGGATCCAGCATCAGATAGGCTCCACTGTACATTTACAAACCACATGTGGATCCACAGGCCAATGTCTTCTACATATTCCAGTCCTTCAGTTTCATGCTACTCTAGTTATCAACCATGATAGAGCCACCATGTTCGACACGACATGTTTATCGTTGCCATGGAAACATTGGATGTTGGATGCCGCTGAAAGCTGCCGTACCGTTGCTGTGTGTGTGCTGCTGTGAAAAGACGTCATGTGCATTACACTTGGATACATTGTCGGTAAACATAGAAACATCAGGTCTGTTTCATCTGTTCATCTTGACTACGCTAAACTGGGAGTTCTTTTTCATCGGGGATGGGGGTGGAGTAGCAGAGAGTCACTTCCATGATTCCCCTCCAGCTTTTAAGTTATCCGTTGTTATTGTTTTGATTGACAACCCCCTGACGCCGGTATTTACGCCTGGCTATCTAACGATCACATAAGCGCAAAACTCTAAAATGGCACTATGTGATAAGAAGTGGAAGTGGAGACTGAGTTAGTAATGTGACTGACTTAAGATCTTAGTCAAGATCTACTTACTGTCATGGTTCCAGTTTAAAGATTGGGGTTCATTTATGAATTCAGTGTACAGAGTTGGTTGGTAGAGATTTATATAGATAGATATTGATGCCAGCATTAGGCCTACGCCCAATGGTAAATTCCCCCGACAAACTGTTAACAGTAGACTGTTGTGGTAGGAAACTGTTGCCAAGTATTGATGAAATGAGTCATCACAAATAAAAGACAACACATAGGAAGTGTGAATGCATCAGGAATCACTTCATCATTGTGTGCTAATGCATTATTTTCGACCTTAGCTCATGAATTGTATCTCAGCAAGTATTTAATTTTCACAAGCATTTGAAATGCGCTAATGTCCAAATATCAACATGGAACAACTGAAGCATGTATTCTGACCTGATCTTAATCATATCAGAAGACATGAGGCATGGGTTGTGAACACTGCTGTGACATCCCACAACAGCAATTAACACACTTGGACTTTGCACATCAGCAAGTGACACACCGCTCCGCCTCTGTCCATGCAGGTCCTAATGAGCAGATAGATACACTCTAATAGGGCAGGAAGCCGACATGATGAAATTAGTAATGTCTGGATATTAGATTTGCATCTGTTTTAGTCTTGCTTGTTATTTTTCTGCAACGGTTATTGTGCAGGTTTGATTGAGAGTAATACAATGCTTAGCTCGATTTTAAAAAGAGCTAAAGGACCATTGAGGTAGCTGCACATAGGCATTGTTTCATTCAGCCTTTCTGTCTAGATGCTCTTAATCACTCCACTCTGTTCTTCCTTCCCATTTTCTTCCATTTGCTTGGGGCGCTGGTAATTCCTCATAAGTGGCACTTGAGGCAAAATTATGCCTGTTTAGAGACAAAAATCACTTGTCCGATTCCCCTCAGAGGAGCATCGCATCAAGAATAGTTGTAAATTGGAGTATTATGAATAATACATGACTGTTTTTTAAAGCATTATGACCATCATGAATGACAGATTTAGGGCACTCAATGCTCTAACACGTTCTACGTGCCCACTAAGCGCCAATCTGTGCTCAGCTCCAATTATCTCTCAGCAGCAGCATGATAGATTGCTCAGACGCATCACATGTCACAGACCTTCAATTCATATTCGGAGGCCATTTTCATCCACCCTGAACAGGGTGAATTGACTCAGAAGTGTATTTTTTCACACATATAAAGTGGTTTGAAATAGGCGTCAGTGGAAAATGGTTCTCGACCTTTAAAGTTGATCTCAAAGCACGGACCATCTCTCAGGCTTATGTGCAAGGATTGATGCTGTTTAAATGCAAATAAAAGGTCTTTCACTAGTTTGGCTTTGGGGTTTAAAGTATGTCAGTTTATGTCATGCAACATAGTCTTTGCTAGTTGTTGTATGGAATTTGAGAAAACACTGAAGCACAGCTGCACCTCTTGGACAACAGTGGGACAGATGTTTGTGTTCAGAGAGAGAATGACTTCACTTGGATGTAGATACACTTTGACTCTCTAAGCCTCTTTGCAAGCACACACA